TTTTATAATAACCAGAGACGGAATAATTTTGAATCATTTCAACGTAGTCACAAAAAACACAATGCTCCGTACAGAGATGAGCCATTTGACGTTTTACGACGCATTTAAAAATAAATTAAATCTCTTTAAAGTGTTAAAAGCTAAATGAACCAATCTTTATAGTGCGTGAAACTTGTTAGTGAAGCGCTTTAGGTTGTAGGAAAGGCATAAATTTAAAATTTACTATCCTCTAACCACTATGTAGGGCGGGTTTTAACTGCTTTTGTTTTTATCATTTTGTCCTTTACTTGAGACAGAGATTAACAAAGCGAGCAAATGTCTAGATAGTTTTTGTAATTCCTAATCTGGCTCATCGATTATGTTAAAAATATTTAGGATTTTTCTTAGTATCATTTGATACCCATGTCGGAGTGGTGGTATAAAAATATATCAATGCTAAAATAATAACACGAGATCCTTGAAGTATTATCGCTTCTTATCATGTCTTCTGCCATTATTTTTATGCCTAAGTATATTTTATAATTATACATATTGTGGTAGCAGCTTTACTCTTACTAACCAGTGGGGCTAGACAAAGTGTATTCGCTCCGAAGCAATTCCATAACGAATTTAAAAAATGTACGAAATTGACGCGCTACAATCACGTGACATAACAAAAGTTTTTGTCAGTTCGCAATGAAATCGCTTCGCAGCGAATTTATCTAACCCCTGGGATAATTTTTTGAGACTACCGTAGTTATATCCAAAAACGGTTTGAACAAAAAAGTAGTGTGTGCAGTTTCCTAGTTATTTCGTGTACAATATAGCATTGAAGTAACATGCTAACAACTTGGTAGCAAGTCGTTAAACAGTTGTGACAATAGGTTTATTTGTGTATTCACGCAACACTTTCATTTGTTATGCCTGTGCATGTAATAAGCAAGTTGTATGCTTTAAAACGAAAGTCAAATGCCTAAAGGGTAACAAAATATGCTGTAGACTAAAGCTAAAACTAATTAGCTTTTATAATTAAAAAAGATTAACTCTACCGCTATGAAAGTATGTGGAAGATTGCGAATCGTATGCCACCTTACTGTTTTGGCGTGGAGCTTAAAAATAGTGTAGAAATACTTTGAAGTGTATTTTGTTTTTTATTTAACTAAATAATTGTCTGCGTATTACTGTGCTAGATTGAAATCTAAAGATCGTCATATAGACGTTTTTAAACAGAAGTTTTTTTTAAAATAATTCTTGAAGTAAGCATATTGTAAGTCTTACTAATATTATAAATGCAAATGTTTAGATGGATGGATGTTTGTTTAAAGTATATCCGGAATGGCTCGACGGATCTCGCTGAAATTGGCATATATGTAGAACATCCAGAATTCTTTAAATCTATACATTTTTCTCTCAGAAGCATACATACACCCACGAACATATACATTCACACGTACATACATAAACACGCACAAATTTTTACATGCACATATCTTAAGTTATTTTTTAATTGTAAATTTCCTTTATTTGTAATTCTTAAGTAAGGCAAGCAATTTCACAATGTAACTAACATATTACTTAAACTATAGCACTAAGACGAAAGAGTCCTGGCTCCTATAATACGGGTCTAGAACCTAGTTTAGGAACCAGGCTACTTTGTAATTTGATCATACTTTTGTTGCCTAAATAAACGATTTTTATTATTATTAACATAGTCTGGAGGAACACATAGGCTACTTATTAAGTTTTTTTTTAATACCGCGTAGAGTTGCGGGCGACATTTGTGTGCTAGTATTAAATATATCCTATATTGTCATCTTTTGACAAGCGATAGATGTCGCTGTGGGCGTTGACAAGATCACGTCACTCCCAATACAAACAAAGACAATTCGCGTGTTGCATAAGTATTGTTAGTGTCTAGCCATGTTTCTAGGTCATGTAAACAGTGTCTATGCAATAAAATAGTTTAGTACTGTCTCGCTTTATTTTACGCAGGATATAGGTGATATACATATACATCGTGATGCAATCTGCACATATCTGAGAAGATATGTGCGAAGTCAACCAACCCGCACTTGGCCAGCGTGGTTGACTATGGCCTAATCACCCTTAACTTAGGGTAGGCTCCGAGCCCCTCGGTGGTGACGTATAGTGAGCTGATGATGATGATAGGTGATAAGAATTGGAAGGCTTAAGTTGAAAAGGGCCTTATTTAAGTCTTTCACTTTCGACTCATTATGTATAAAGGAAGGTTAGGAAATGGAAGTAGATTTGGCGGGGGAGAGTACATATTGGTAGGGGAGAATATCCTTTTTCACAAGGTATCTCCGTAACAGTTTAATAGATCATAATGAAATTTGTCATAGATATAGAACATAGTCTGAAAGAGCACATAGGCTATTAATTCATAAGACGCGGGCGACTATAAGTTTTGTAAATAATTTTCAAGTAACACAGTTGAAAACAATCGTTTTTGATATTTAATATACGGTGCAATATCTTCAAATATGAAAGTCAAATATAAAATTACAAATCTATGGAGCTTATTTAATTTAATACTTAAAAATAAAAGTTCTCAGATTCTTAGAAGGTAGGCTTTGATCATAAATTGGCGAATGCTTAGAGAGGCTTCTCAGATCATTAGAATTCCTTCCCTTGTTCTTTGTTTCGTCGGCCGACAAATTTATTATAATTGATTCTAGGAACATATTTGGTTAAACAAAAATGGTTTTAGAATTTTTGAAATGTTGCATACTATTATAATATTTAAATGTATAAGATAATTCTGAAACGCCAATAGCCTAATGGTTAAGGGTACGGATTTCCGATCACGTGGTTGAGAGTTCATCCCGCCATTCGACTACTGTCGTGAATCATGTCTTAGCACAAGTGTAATGCTTAGTTGTACAAGAAGTATAAGTAAATTAACAAAAAATCTGTTAATTTGTCAAAAAAAAATAAGTTAAGACAAAGTAACTTTTGTCACATATATTACTAGATGTCGCCCACGACTCCGTCCGCACGGGATTAAAAATAGATGTTGGTCGATTCTCAGACCTACTCAATATGCTCACAAAATTTCATGAGAATCGGTCAGGCCGTATCGGAGGAGTATGGGAACAAAAATTGTGACATGAGAATGTTATATATAAGATATAATTTGCAATTGTGTTTTATACGGATATTTGAGTGACAATCGTAATCTCGTTTAAGTTAACGTTAGAAAAACTAAGTGAATGTATTTGAAAGTTAACGCAAACATTAAAGTTAATATAAAATGCATTTAAAGACTCATCAGTTAAGGGGCGGAGATTTTACATTGGAAATGGAAATAATGGCCTGTCAGAAATTGAAAGTGTTTGATATTAAAATGAACCTTGTGAAGTATAGTGAAGGTTTAAATTTCAATAATAGGTATAAAGGTGATTTCACACTATGCTGTAGTGTTGTTGAAACATTCGACAGTAATGGTAGGTCCAGACTTTGCCAGATTGTGTCGGGAAATTATGTAAGGGTCATTACCGTTTGAGATTGGGATTTTTCAATATAAAAAGTATTTTGATGTATCTTTTTGCGTAAATTCGATTTTCGTCAAATTGCTTCTTTGAACTTGATTAAGTTTTATGAAAAAGTTGTTCTTTTATTACACATTTTTTGTTTTCGGAGTTGATTATATAGTTTATAGGTTTTTAAATATACTTAAAGACACAAATAGTAATTTTTTTTTATATTTTCTTGAGATGTCATCTAAGACAGCGGCATATTAGTTTGTGTTAAATAGTTTTTAAAAGGTATATTATAATTACAAAAAAAGTAGTCGATGTGTTCTTCCAGACTATGTTCTACATCTATGCAAAATTTCATCGAGATCCATTGAGTCATTCTAGGGATATCTTCTAACAAACATTCATCCATCTAAACATTCGCATTTATAATATTAGTAAGAATATAGAAAATAAAACTCGAAAAACCCCACAAATGAAGATCGAAACCGGTACTAACATTTCATTGATGTACAATAAAAAGCCGTGTAATACGATCGTATACACAATTTTAACAAGCACCCATTACAACTTCAAAAGAGTATAATTGGGCTACTCGTTCCCAACTCCATATAAGTTACAAACGTGTGCGTTTACGTTTTGTCCGTTTTATAAATAGTACGCAAACAAGTTCATTTCTATTCATGATTCATCCCACTTGATGGGACTTCAACATTTGATCTGTCCCTTTTTTATTGAAAATTGGTACGTCAGTTTTGCTTGATCTTTGCAGATTTATTGTGCGTAATTATAGGGTATGTTCTTATAGAGGTATTTCTTTTTTGCGTTTGGTATTTCTCGTTGGTTTATCCATTTTTGAAAAACATTTTTTTTATCTCATGTCGATGGTAGGCATGATGTAAAAGATAAATTGGCGTTTATTTAGCCTTTGTTAGCCTTCAATCTTCCGATATTTCGGTAGTTCAATTTGTTATTAATGGCAACTTGTTTGCGTCGATTTAGTTTGAAATTGGTTGTCTAATTTTATGTTTGTAATGGATTCGATGAAGCGATTTTATAAACTGATGTTTATTTTTTTATTAAAAATTATGTAAAGTACTTAATTTTTGTTGAAATAATGAGTTTTAAATATTGATTATGAGTATGAAGCATAATATTTCGTACTAATCATACTAATATTATAAATGCCAATGTTTCGATGGAAGGATGGATGTTTCTTACTCCAAAACGGCTCAACGGTTCTTGATGAAATTTGGCATACATATAGAACATACTTTGGAATAACAAATAGGCTACTTACTTTTAGACATTATTAGTTAGAATCCTTTGGCGCGAATGACGCGATTTCATTACAAAGTCAAGTGTCAGAATGATTAGTGAGGGGACATAAACATCGACATTTTAGTAAGGCTAGTGTTGCGCCAGTACACCGACACAGTGTCGGTGTACTGGCGTAACACTAGCGTAATTTCGTGCGGATGAAGTTGCGGGCGATCGCTATAGCTATAAATCATAACTTACCGTACAGACAGAAGCAAGAAGAGGGGCAGAAGAACAAAAAACAATCGCGTCCTCTCTCCGATGTTACGAGCACTGTTGTTGCGTACCGCGCTCCACCGGGGCAGGCATTCCAACATGATTTCACATCCTAATTATTATATTTTTACGTATTTTATCATTTTAAACACATTCACAAACTATACAGTTATGTCCGTCCGTTCTGATTGTGTAGAAACATGCTGAATATCTGTAACAATAGAGAAATATATATGAAAAGAAAAACATTGAGAAAAAGAAAGAGAGAGAGAGAGTACTACTAAATGTCAGTGTCTTAAAAAAACATAAAGTTTCATACAGGTTTGTTTTAGTATTTAGATTGTAGATTGTACTTAAAATCTATTATAATATTACAGAGAAACGATTTAATCGAGATAGAGTCTAAAAATTCTATAATTTTTTTTTAATAGAGAGTAATTTAGTTTACATTTTTCGTTTAACTGTAGTTAGTAGCAATACCTGTAACTTAACCCTTATGTTCATTTTGTATAGTATACCATACATACAACTCTATAGAAATATACGATCACAATAAAATAAATAAAATAATTATTAACTTAGTTTTATTAAACTTATTTTTGCTTTTGCGTATTTTTTGCTTTTCTTCAAAAAAGAAATCTTGCCACAATAAGGGTTAAGAAACAGGTCAAAAACTTATTGTGAGTAACTTGTTAAAATTGTGTACTTAGTCTTTACTTGACCTTGCCCTTACGTAGTGTTGGCACATTAAGTGCTCCTCCATATATCTATCATCCATCACATGTGACCGCCCTTCTTACGCATATCCTCTTTTAAAAGCTATGTATGTACAGCTTAAAAAATAGTATAAATTAAAAATCGTGATAATGCAACTGAGTTTGTTTAAAGTTAATGTATTTCTCACGAGTTGTGTTACAAATTTAATTTACCTTAACTCAGTGGTTCCCAAACTTATTTTGTCTACTGCCCATTTTGAGAATATTTTTTTTTTTTAGCGCCCCCATATTTTCACATATTTAAAAACCACTATAACTTCAAATTAAATTAATTAATTATTGTGATCTATTAATATACATATATATTAACGGAGAATTGTAAACCCCCAAGGCCTCTACACAACGCCACCATTTTCTTTCTGGGTCTCTTATCGCCTTGAGACCCCTTGAGACCTGCAGCGCCCACAAGCGGCGTTATCGCCCACTTTGGGAAAGACTGCCTTAGCTTAATAGTATTGCTTTTGTAAATTACTAGACTGTCGTAAAATTTAATTATTTAACAATATATGAATGTAAAGTATTCAAATGTCATGTGAACTTGTGTGAATTTTATTTGCATTAAAATATTATACTATTTTATTATAAAACTTTTTTTTAAATCATAAGGTGGCAAACGAGCGAGCGGCCACCTGAAATCACTGAAATAGCGAAGCGACCGTTGCCCATAGATATACGCAATTGCATATGCTTTGCCTACCTTTAATCGACGGAGAATGCACAGAAAGAAAATATTTTCCCTTCCCATGCATCCTCTCATCCGGAAAGACCACTTCCACTTCCCACCCTTTCCTTATAAGAAAAAGGGTGGGAAGGGAAAGAGGACTGAATTAGGCCTCCGGGACGCACACTCATCAGACGAGTTTATTTTTTAGGTTATATTTGAAAGAGAGAATCAACTTTTAACGTAACGAAATGAGCACAAACAGCGAATCGAAATTTTGTCAGGATGAACTCGATGGTAAATGTTAAGTCTACCACTCTTAGATATTGACGTAAACTAAACATATGAAAATTATACTAATTATTAAACATAATAAAAAGTATTATAATAAAACACATTCAAGCTCATGCGCATAGAAATACGATATTCCAGTTTTATTATAGCTATGGCAATAATTTTTAATAACCATTTGATATTCACATCACTTGAGGCATTTCAAATAAATTTAATTTGCAAAAACATGTTTAAAATAAAACGGAATATATTTTTCTTAAATATGTCAGAAATTTTGATGATCTGTGCGTGATCTGAATATACATATGTAGACCAATCATAAGGACAGTTTTGAAACTTTTATTATATGCTTATGGTTACGTTACGGGAAATTTTAAAACATTTATTTTTTAATACTATCTGTTCGTGACATCGTCCGCGCGGAATTAAAAAAAAATCAAGCAGCCTATGTATTCTTCCAGACTATGTTCTACATCTATGCCAAATTTCGTCAAAATCCGTCGAGCCATGTAAGCGTTCGCATTTATAATATTACTACCTGTCGCCCGCGACTCTGTCCGCGTGGTATTAAAAAAAAACATAATTAGTAGTCCATGTGTTCTTCCAGACTATGTTCTACATCTGTGTCAAATTTCGTTAAGATCACTCGGGCCGTTCCAGAGGTACCTTCTAACAAACATCCAGCCAAACATTCACTTTCATAAGTGTATTTCATATTAGTAAGATTACGTCGTGGAATTTCAAATGTTTTTTTCTACAACAATAAAAATGTTTCTTAGAATATTTTTGGCTAGTTACTTTGTTCCATTCTTTCTAATTAAGTTATTATTGCAGAGGTATAGCAATTATGAATGAAATACACACAAACAATACGATGTACACAGTCAGAAACTTGCACAGATTCTCTACTTCTAGATAAAACTGTTTTTAGGTCTTGTAGTTATTTCGAACATAGACTTCAAATCACATTTAGAAAGTGGAGCGGGAAGCAAAAGAGGTTAACTGCTTTAAAATAGAACTACGGAAAACTAATTTTACATGGAAACTAGGAAGTGAATTTTGCACTCGCAATCGAAAAGGTCTAGCAAATACTGAAAACATTGAAATTAAATATTTTTAATGGATCAGAGTTTTTATTTGGCCTAAAGTAATTTCTAGTCTAAAGTGTATCTTTATATATATAATTCTTCTGTGAGTGTGTATGTCACTGAACTTCTCTCAAACGACTGGACCGATTTTGATGAAATTTTTTGTGTGTGTTCAAGGGGATCTGGGAATGGTTTAGATTCATAATTTTGTCCGCTGGACAATGTTTTTTTAATTAATTTTTAATTTATTAGTAGTTGTTGATTTTGGAATGTTTCACATTGGATCCGACAGACGGCGCTACCATCGCAGTGTCAAATTTTCAATAATATTCGAATTAAAGACGTGTAGACAGGACAACGTCTATCGGGTCCGCTAGTAATCTTATAAAAGCGAATGTTTGGATGTATGTTTGTTAGATGGTGTCTCCAGAACTGCTATACAGATCACGTTGAAAATTGGCGTCCATATAGAACATAGTCTGGCAAAACATATATGCTTCTAATTAAGTTTCTTTTAACTTCGCGTTGAATGGAGTCGCGGGCGAATGACAGGTACTAACTTTATAAATACGAATGTTTGGATGTTTGTTAGAAGGTATCTCCGGAATGGCTGCATCTCGCTGTAATTTGGCATAGATGTAGAACATAGTCTGGAAGAACATATGCTACTATGTTTTTTTTAATTCCGCGCGGACAGTGTCGTGATAGCTATTTATTACAATGTTTCTCCTTTTATTAAATTTATGACAACATAACCATTACGTAAAGTAAATATTCAAAGTAGCTCTAAACTTATCAAGGTTATACGAACGCGTTTCACCTTTTAACCTTAAAATTTCATTTCATTAAAAGCCACGAGGGGTCAGCTTTAATATTAATAAATGTACATTTCAACTCCATAATGTAAATTACTCTGTTTATTTTAATACTCGTGTCTATGACTTTTAATAATATTGTTCATGTACATAATATTGTTCATGTACATAATATTGTTTATTCATTTTATTTACTTTTTAATTCTAATCCGAAACTTTATTTTAATTAGATTCACGATTATAAACGTTCCTGATATCGTACAATTTTTGTTTTGTTTAAACAGGACTGGAACATAATATTTTTTTTAATTTCTTAATTTATTCATGAAGTTAAATAATTATATCTTACTATATTTATATAATATATAAATGTGAATGTTGAAATGGATAGATGTTAGAATGCATCGTAACAACGGATTCCGATGATATTTGCTATAGACGTGTGTTTTATTAATTCCGCGCGAACGTAGTTGCGGGCAAGAATTAGTATTATTTTAAATGACTTCTGGAAATAAAGAAACAAGACTATATATCTAATTTAATTACTTATAATAATATTAATTATAAGTAATTAAATAAGTATCCAACATTATAGCTATGCGTATCATCCCAGCTATGATACCACATACCAGTTAATTATATTTTTAATCACAATTAAATTAATTGAAACTCATTAAAATTAACTGTTTAATACCGGTATTAGATAATTATGTGTAATTTACATTTATTGTAGGATCAAATATGTTTTGTGGGAAACGTGTTATAAATCAGTGCAAAAATACGACGTATAATACATACATAAGTATTTTGAATACTACACTAGCTGTAATCCGCGACTCCGTTCGCGCGGAATTAAAAAAAAAAACTTAATTAGTAGCTTATATGTTCTTCCAGACTATGTTTTACATCTATGCCAAATTTTATCGAGATCCGTACTGCCGTTCTGGAGATACCTTCAAACAAACATCCAACAATCTAAACTTTCGCATTTATAATATTAGTAAGATAGCTTTTGAGAAAACAAGAAGTTACAGATTCTGTTCAAATAAAAGCAACACACTCTTCGATCATAATGTTTATTGTGAATGCAAAACTCACTCTTAATTGTAATGAAAAAATAACAAAAGACTACTCGGTTTGATAGAAAAATAAAATCTCACGGCGCCAATATGTGCCAGTACCTTTTTACTTTTCTAGTTGCGCCTTCTAACGTAACATTGAATTACGTTTGAACACTAACTGAAAATTATTTGCGAAAATATATTATTTTGAATTTCGAAATTGAGATTAAAACAAAACTCTTACTTTGTGAATGCCATATTTTTCGATTTGAAAGTTGATACGTCATACAGCGCGGGTATACAAGTACACTTTTGTTTGTAGGTTATTCTGCCATAAAATTTTAGAGATATAAAATATCGCTTCCAGAAACTCATATTCATTGGTCATAACATTACATACGTAAAAATCAATATTCAGTAATCCTTTAACCTTTTCAAAGACATTCAGAAGGTGAGCATTAAATCAAGTGTAATGCTTACTCTATGCGCGATACCAGAGACAATGGTAGCCGATTG